AGCTGTTCTACTTTACCTCCCTCTACATACACACACTAAGCAGAAATGAAAGAAACAGAGTCAGAAATACTCTAACGAATAATTAACGTTGGGAATTTGCCACCATAGATCATTATGCAGCAAGAAAAATAAAGAAGAAGAAACCTCCTCAGGTTTTCTTAATATTAAATTCACAACTGATGATGACAGCAAACATATAAGCATGCCTTAAATTTTATCGGCAAAGAAGCCAATGACTTGCTACATCAGTGTACGTCATCGCACAGGCAGGTTGCTAAGTCATGCAGACAATCTTCAAATGGCAGAAAACTTCCACCTCCCCTAGAGCCAAAGGGATTGAAAAAAAAAAAAAAAAGAAGGAAAAAAAAAGAAGCAATTTTTCATTCAAATTTAATCCTATACATCACAACCTACACATTTTTGCATTTACACACATTTGCTGCTACTATGAAACTTGGAGGTTATAAAAGCTCTTTATTATCCATTATTATTTGTTACATACCTGACAACTTCCACAACAGTAAATAGATACAAAGAACTGAGTGCTTCTGTCCCAAAGATTATGAACAAAATAGCAGGCAACAAGACTCTAGAAAAGGATTGTTTAGAATTTAAAGTACCTGCCAACATCGATTTGATAGAGCTGCTTTCTGCATGAAACAACAACCAACGTATGTCCTTACTAACAGATCCCAGCATACTCAGTGATCACAACACTGAAATACAGCACCTTTCCCAGCAGAATCCCAACAGAGCGTATTCTATGCTGTTACACCTGGAACTGATTAAGACTCCAAGCATTAACACAGCTACAAGGTTTTATACTGGTAGAAGCACTCTTTGTCAGCTCTTGCAAGTAATAAGCCCCCTCTAATAAGTCAGGGAGAGATGATGAAAATAACCCCATATTCATTTTTTAAAAGCAATTATTCATAGCCCTAGGAAGATTAAAAGTGTACAAATTGCGTGGTTCTTGCCTGACTATTAAAGAAGAGGCATTAATATCTGCTGCGCCAGCTGAATTCAAATTAACCCAATTTTTACGTGTTAATTAAACCAGCTATTTTCTTATTGTATTTTTGCTCTGTAAGTAGACTAGCCTGCTAGTGATTCCCAACAGATCTATTCTAACAACAATGACGTATTCATTTACTTCTATTATGACCATACAATACAGTAACTGAGCAGTAATTTTTCACAGTCAATTTCATGTGTGATTCTTAATGCTTAAAGATGCTGAAATAATGTGTACTACATAGACACATGCTCACTTCTCTATACTGCATGAGGGTAGTTGCCTGGGTAACACATTTTCTCTCTGGTTTAGCATCACCCTTTTGGGTTTAGCATAACCCTTCACTGAATATCATTAGGTGTCATTAAACAGCACATATTAACACGGACTTCAATATACTACTTAAGAGTTATTTTATCTACATAAACAAGTGCTCATTTATGTTACAAAAGCAGAGAAAAGCCTAGTAATTTTAACAGTGCAAAGAGAGGAAGCCAAAACGTTTCCCAAATTTTTACTTCAGCATTGAAGATATCCTACCCTACCAGTCAAGTCTTTCTTCACCTTCATGCTCTCCTTAACAGTGCCAACATTGCACTATTTACTCAGGAAGACTGAAACACAGATATTTTAGAACTTATCCACACATAAGAGCAACATGCCAAACACAACAGACGTGTTTGGTGCGACATCACTGCTATATACTACTCTCTCCTTTCTCTCAAACTTGTTTTGGTGCTCATGCCCACAGTATCTGGACACCACATATATGTAATACATTTCCACCAGAGAAAGTCCACATGCAGCCACACAAAGAAAAAAAAACAACAAAACCATTACCTATTGCTCTAATACATGCAAACGCAGTGATGAGGAGATTTCTTCAGAAATCAATGCATATATTTCTACTGCATCAGCAATGCGAACATGATAACATAATAGGGCACAAATTGAAGCTACATCTATTATTTTATGCTGCAACCTAGCTAAACTAAGTACAGTGTAAATTGGTGCATTAGGAGATAAATTTATATCCAATAATAATGGAAAATGCTGGTATTTCCAAGTGTTACTTTTGAATAATTTGTCCTTTCTAAAAATAAAGCACAGAGTATTTCTCAGTAAAGTGTTAGTACAGTCCAAACACAGATGAGGAGTAAATACTTATTTTGTTAGACAGATGTTTAGAAGTACAACAAAAGATAGAAAAACCATACGTACAGTAGGCAAGATGGAAAATGGCTCGCCTGATGCTGATAGGCCTTGATGAAGCCACAGTATTTCAGGTAACTTTATGGCCCAGATGAATCTTAATTAAGCTTTTTTTTTTTTTTTTTTTTTTTAAGTAGGAATGAGATACTTAAGACTATGAACCAGTCAAGGCTCCTAAATCTGCTTCATACAACCTATAGCCATGTGATAAATGGCTCCTTAAAAATTTGTGTGATTACTGACCCACTGCTTTGAAATGCTTCTCTGGCCATCAGCAAGAAAAGCCTTAAAAGACACCCCAGTAAAAGGCAAGAAGATAAGCCCACCTCCAAATATTTCTGCACCCTTAGAGGGAGACAAAACTTGCTCCCATGGCAACAGATATTCACAGAATGTCAGAGTCTTCCTTTATAGGTCTTACATCTTTGTCACACCAACAGCAATTTCTGTGAAACTCTTAATTTTTGCCAGTGAAGGAATTGTGCTGGAGCTACACAAGAGATTCTGTCCATGGCAACCACAGTGAGATTGCATGTAAAAAAAATCTGCACATTCTCTGCTTGCAGTTTTCTTATTCTAGTTCAGGTCTCTGCAAAATAAACAAAAAACAAAACAAAACAAAACAAAAAAAACAAAACAAAACAAAAAAGAAACCACAAGGAGCAAATGCCAATGTGGTGCCCACTTCATCTACCTACTCTGTTCTACTCCAATGCCACAGAATTTACAGTACCTGCTAACTGCTAACAATATGCTAAGTATAAGAGAAGTTCATTTCCATGTCCAGAGTTCACACTATAGATTTCTTCAATTCTTCAAGGGGCTAAGCAACGCCCCTGCACATCTATTAGTACTGCTAATGAGTCAGTAGCTCTCATGCTGTCTGCCTGTCACCTTTATCAGTTCCAGATTTCAGTATTTCTCACTGACTACACTTGGTATCTATACATTACATCTCAGCAGAACTAAAAGAAATTAAAAAGCATTTTAGATACGTAGGTAGGAACAACCCTGGTGATTCTGGGCTCAGATTCTGCTGGTGGTTGCATTCACCAATCTGAAGAACAGATACTTCTTCAGAACAGAAGCAAACATCCAATTTCTAGAAGCACATATGCTTCTAGAAATAACACAGCAGTAGAACAAAATTCACTTGCCACTGCTTTTGCAAGTCTCCTTTTTTTCTGCCAAGAATAGACACAGATTATTGAGCAGACTTTCATGACCTTAATATCATCTCTAAAACATCGACAAGCCTAGTAAAATGAGAACAAACAAAAGCAGTTTTTTACTCCGCTTTAAAACCAGAACCTCTGGACTGTCAAGCTGGAAAGCATTCAACAAGAGAAGACCAACAGGTCTTGTTGCCCTTCTGAGGGGATTTCATTCCAGCAGTAAGAAACAAGTGCCCCTGCTTCAGATGATCACTCTAAGAATTACTTCACGTGCCACCAGCAGAAGGTACAAATGCCTGGTCACATGGCAAAAAATGCTACAGGGTCAGATTAGCAAGATGAATCACTTTCTGAACTTTCTCCACTTTTTTTACACAATACTATAGCAGCTAAACAAGATGACAGCCTGAATACTAAAAAAGAATCTGCAAAGTCACGATATGAACATGCAGTCAGCTATCATTGCAGCCTGGCCTGCAGAAACAACTCTTACCTGTGGCAGAAAGCAGCAATCAGAAGCTTCAACACTGCACTGAAAAAATGCTCAACTCCTGCAAGATCACACCAAGTTACAGAATCCCAATCCATCAACAAGTTCACATAGGCTACAGCTTTCTATTTTGCTTCCTCTGACACCAGCTTCTGCTTGTAAGGGAGGTCCAAATTACAAGATATAGATTATACTCACAGGCTTCTTATTACAAAATGGATCTGAATCTGTGCAAGCCAGAAAATGCAGTTTTACAGGCATCAAACCAAAGGAAGAAATCTGAGCAATGTTTAACATTTTCAGACAAACACTATCTGAAGCATCATCTTCTTGCTGCCATTATGCCAATATAACTAAGGTGATCTTTTATAGAATTCTTTTATCAGGGATAACAGTCATTACATTAACTTGTCTACAAAGCTAAAGGAACCCAGCTGCCAGATACCCGACACTGCCTAAGCAGGAAAGAGAAAAAGCTACCACAAAAGTCCTCAGTTATACATGCATCTGTTTGCTAAGAAGCCTTCTAGTCATACGTTATTTATCTTACATTTTACTCTCTGTAACCACTGATGTGAGTCATGCCTGAAGTTTTCTGGTACCTAAAAATGCCACAACTACAGACTTTAAGTCCACAGCTAATTATTCTGAAGTTTCTCCTTTAAAGATACATTTAAGGCAGCGTTCAAAATACACATTCATATGAGTGAAGAGAAGACTTGCCTGGGCAAGTACCAGAAGCAAAAGCAAGGATTTCATTAAAAAAGTGGGAAGGAAAATAGAGGGGTAGCTAGTCTTGCCTATTGGCAAAGTCAACTTTCCATATGCAAACCATGTGCCACCAACCTCACTGCTGTCTTCCCAGGACTGAGGAGTGGCTCCCTAAATACCTTTGTTGCTCTTCCTCCCTCTTGAGGGAAAATGGAAAAAAATTTTATTAATGCTGCAACAAATTTAAGGAAAGGCACTTTTTTGTACTATTTCTTCCTACATGATCTGAACTTATTTTGGATTGCTATTTGAATGTGTTTGTGACAAATACATAGAGTAAACAGAGACAGACAGACTCGTGGAAGGAAAGGGAAACAAGACTTAGAGGAGCCAGCCAACAAACATGAAAGGTTCAATGAGTTAAAAATACATAGTAGAGAGAAAATGGTTTGCTCAGCTAAATGCTACGTGAAGCCCAAAACATTGTTTCTGCTCTTTCCACTTAAAAGATACTGTAATTCCATTATATATTTGCAGGCAAAAAAACAAAAAAACAAAAACCAAAAAACCACAAAAATCCAAACCAAACCAAAATAATCACCAGCCTTGTTTTCAAAGGAATGGTTTTGTGTTTTTTTAAAGAACAACAATGAAAGAAAAAAAAAAAAAGAAGAAGAAAAAAACACCAGAAAACTTACCCATCTTTTGTCTGATCCACCACACCTGCAAGGAGCTGAACAGTGTTTGCATTCGGCAAACCATCCCCAATTATCTTCAGGTACCGTGTGACAAAGTCATTAGGAGACATGAAGAATTCCCCATTCTTCTCCACACTTGCATACTGTCAAATGAATACAGTATTTAGTGTCACAACTGCATCTTTCTCCAGGTTCTCACTGCCACAGGCATTATTCCCAACCTGTAACATGGACCATGCTTACTGCACGTAAGGACAGCTCTGCTATGAAGAAATTAAAACCTACAGTGAAACAGAGTAAGCAGCAAGTACTCAAACAGCTGAAGGCTTCGCTCCCCCACCAGAATAGTGGCAGATACACGATTTTTGCTCATTACAACAGCAATTCTCTACATTTTTTGTTTTGAAGTAGAATAAGAAGCACACCTGCATTTGCAAACATGTATATGGCACTTCCGGACCACTGAAACTTTAACAGCTATGGGATATTCCAGAATATTTTATTTATCTAGAATGACTCCTTTGTGTAGCAGCACTACTTTGGCACAAGGTGGGTTTACAGCCAAGAGACAACTCTGCTGTGCTTGCGGAGTAAACGATCGCACAGGAGCATCCACGTGGGGGTGCTATCTTGGAGCAACTCCAGCACAGCGGATTCAGCTGCAGGTGGCCCTTAAGTGAAGGAGTACCTACAGCTATTCCTCCACAACTGAACTGAAGGAGTCAGGGAGTAGCAGTTAGCAGGAAACTGTAAGAAAAAGCAAGAACTTGGACACGGCAGTTTAGCAATACAAATAGTGCTAAATAGGAAGAGGAGTCTGAGACCTCACCAAACATCTGTAATATACAGCAGCCTATGCCATACTGGCATTCTAATCCAGAAACAGCACTCAATATACATACCTAAGTGTATTTGCTCCCAAGGTACACTTCCAGAAACAAATCACATATTCCTTTTTCTTGATATTAAATTATTTTGAAAATAATGAATAAATAAATAACACTGCCTTTTGCATCACCTTTACTCTGATTCCTTACTCAGTCCTCAAATTTTGAAGCCCTCATTTTCGGCCGAAGGGTAAACTTCCAATCAATCCTAAATACTTTTCCCAAGATAGTGAACAAGCACCAAGAGCAGCAAAGGAACTTGCTAGTTCCCTTAGCATTTTTAAGATAGGATAATAAACCATGGTTGAAGCTGCCCAGAGAGTATTATCCATACTGATGATACTTCTAAATAAATTAGAAGCCTATTGATATTTTGGAGCATACTTCAAAGACACGTTTTGTTTCACATTCCTGAGCCTTTGCTAAGGGCAGGAACTGCCAGTTTTCATTTCAGAGCTGCACCGGTGCCTGCAGAGTAGCGTTATAGCTGCAGTAGGCATATCACTCTCAGAGGGATGCCAAAGTGTAACAGTAAGTAGATTATTTTCTTCTAGTGCTATATAAATACAGTCTTCAGGTACAACAATATCTTCAAGGATTCAGACTTCAGGGAAGCAAGCCCAAACAATACATAACTTGCTTTGGCATCTATATATTGGTTACCATTTACGGACTCGTGTTTCAATAGACACTGTTTCTATCGCAAGCTTTCTAGCTGATATACTGCAAGGAATTTTCAATTGTACACTTTTATAAGAACTAGCAGATCAATTGATTTCAATGTAATCATTTGCAGGGAGACAGAATCTTTCAGAAACCCAGCCTCAAAAACTTTTAACACAGCTGCTATTGAGAAACAAATCAAATAAGTCAGACAGTCTATGCTTCTATATTTCATTTTTTTCTTCCAGGCTAACCCCCTGCTAGGGCACTCAATAACAGAAAACAGCACAAGGTTTCAGTGTCCCCCTGTTTCTTGTCATTGTGATTTACTCAAATGTATTTGAAATCCAATCACGTACTCTATACTACATATAGAAAATGACCTTGGAAAATGTCAGCTTGATCACTTTGACTAAAATCTAATCTCTTAGGGGTTATGGTAGAAGACTTAGAAAAAGTAGACTTACTGTTGGAAATTATCATAACAAAAAGAGAAAAACATCAATTCTATTGGTTTTGGAGGAGAGGCATTAGGAAATGGTTCTTTACATTGTATTTTTCCCCACTTTGGCAATTATACCCACAGAGAATTTGATATTATACAATAGTACTTAATGGATTTGGTAACTTATTTCCATACTTTTTAGATACTCAAGTATTAACCAGTTCAATTCCACTTTTAATAAGATCTGCAAACACTTTACAAGGCTTTTGATGTATTAAAAATGCTAAAAGTTCATTGTAATCAGCTGCTAGCCAAATATTAGTTTCTACACAACAGGTACCATTTCTATTTGGGAATCTTCTTTTTTTTTTTAACCTCTTTATTGAAGAAAGAAAAATGGATGTCAAGTTATTTTATAAGTGAAAGCCTCACAGTTTGCAGAAGCAACTGTATTGACCCCACCATTCATCTGAAACAGCTTAATTAACACTGGCCATAGCTTTCCACACTCAACATACTGCACTCACTCATCCTTTTTTCCCTCTCAGCAAGCAGCACTATTTCTGTACTGCCATCTTCCTGAGCCAGAAGTCTGCTCCATCTGCCTTTTGTGTTGCTCTTCAAACACTGACCTATGAAAATCCTATTCTTTTTCAAGAATCTTTTCAGTCTCGACAGATAGCAGTTCCAGGGCTTAGTAACTTAAATCTTGGCTTTCACAACTGCAAATCTCATTTCAGAGCTTTAAATACTGACAGTATATGATAAAACTATAAATACTGACAATATACATAGTGACACCTACACACATTGTTAATAATAGATCACAAGGGCCAATGGAAAATACGCCAAGAAGTGCAGGGAGTCTGGGGAATGACAGAGAGACGGAAGGAGGAGGGTGGAACTTAGAAAGGATTTAGCTCCCTTAGGCACTCACCCCCTTCATAAAAAATAATTCAGATATAAGAGGCTTCCTGTACCACTGAGGCTCTCACCTCATTAATTTAGTGGCTGGTAGCCCTACCCACACCAGGAAAATTGGAACTAGATGATCTTCAAGGTCCCTTCCAATTCAAACCATTCTATGGTTCTATGATTTTTAACCCAATTTTAGTCTTCTTTTTTTTATATCAGAGTACAAATTTAGTGCAGACACTGTAGTAATAAAATCTTAGGAGGTTTGGTAAGATTTCTTTACATTTAGGTAATGGGCCAAAGAAAGCCATGTACCAGCAAAACATTGCAATACATTTCTCCAAGCAGACACAGCAAATGCACAAGTGATTTATAACAGGTTAACTCAACTCAGAAGGAATTTAACTTAAATAATAAATATATCCACCACTGCAAAAGGTGATATTCCCAGCAGTTCTCCAAATTAAAGAAGCAGGAATAACCCTGATGGAAAGAAGACAGCAAGGATGGGAGAAGAAAGTTTACCAAATGGTCTTACAGCAAGGTGTCTACACTAACATTTTACCATGTGTAGGAACAATACTGAAACTCCCACCCCATTCTCTGAACAATGTGGTTTTTTTTCTCTAAGATAGTAATACTTCATCTGAGTCAATACAATAATCACTCAGGAATGTATCTGACTTCTTGGTGAGCATTGTTCAATTCTGATAATGGTATTTAAGTCTAACATGGTAATAATACAGTGAATGATTAATGGTTGGAAAAACTATCAAGAGTTGTATGCTGCAATAAAGGAGCAAAAGATATGAAAAATTTAAGCAGAAAGAGTAAAATATTTACTTTATACATACCTTCAAAAATATTGTTTTCAACTCAGCAGGATCAGCTCTCTTGGTTAGAGCCACCTACAAGTAAACACAATTATATTAATATCCATAATTTATAAAAAAGATGTAAAAGTGTCATTAAAAAGAAAGAATTCAAATAGCAGAACGAGAGATGAAAACAACTGTTCACCTTTGATAAATTAGGTACTGCTTTAGATGGTCATATTTATTTTACTCATTCCACATTTATACTGAGTTAATCAACATTTTTGTTCTAACTGCTTCCTTTATGCAACCCTGCAGTTCTTAAACAAGCACACAATAGTAATTCATATAGATATTCAAGCATGAAATCTTTTCAACATCCTTCTCTGTTGGGATTCGGTATTTACCACCTTCACCATATAGATTTTTATACTTCCAGCATTTTTCATCTAAGGATTTCATAGTACCAAATGCAGCCCCCAACTGATAGATGACAGGAATGAAATACTCAGACTTACAAACTTGCCCAAGAAAGCAGCTTCCTAAAAGACCAAATTCCAATGTAAGCATCTGATTCATTGGTATTTCTACCTCGTATTTGCAACATTTTGAAGTATTTAAACTTACTGTATGTCTTTTTGATGTGGTAAAGTCAGCACAGGATCTAGATTTTTCTGCAGACTAAACAACCAGCTACTTACAACTAAAATCTAAGCTACATGTATCATCACAGACACAAAATAATTAGAAAGGTTTTGTTGTTGTGTTTTTTTTCCTCTGCAAAAAACACTGAATTAAAGAATATTATGTATCCACTATGGCCAACAGCATTTTCTTCACTTATATACCATGCCACCCATTTGCTCAATTTGGCATTAAGTAGACTGATCCCTTTTGTCTATGCCTGGTACAGTTTCCCATTCCTGATAGTCAATTCAGTACACTGATCTATTTGTAATCCAAGAAAAAAATTACTGTGAAAGCACCTGAATATTCAAAAACTTTGAAAATGCCTCTTTAATAAGGAACAAACAGCAAAAGGGCAGGACATAGATTGTTATCCTCACCTAACAATTAAGCATCATACAATTTATCAATAAATCACACATCTACCCACTTTCTTGGTTCTCCAAAACAATACTAAACTGTAATGGTGGATGTATGAGGTAGACTGCAAGTGCATTTCTAGTACCACACTAGACTACTGCACAAAACAGTTAAGGGGTAAAAAGTAGTCTACAACATAATTAGACCCTCACCCATGGATTTATTGAGGGATCTTCAGTATGTTTTTCCTCATTCTAATTGGGTCACTGAAGAACTAAAAAAACAATACTCAAAGAATTCACCCCCCTCCCCTCCCCAAAAAAATCCATAGAATATTTTAAGAAAAGTGTATGAAAATGGAATCTTATGATTCCTTCTTTTTTTTTTTTTTTTTTTTTTTTTTTTTTTTTTTTTTTTTTTTTTTAAGGAAAAAAACGCGCCTGAAGTTATGCTAGGACTCAGGTGAAAGTCCACAGCTGGACACCCAATTCTGTGTTTGCACAGAAATCTGTGTGGAGGCAGTTGCGAAAAATCAAAGTATAATGGTGAAGTTGGGAATCTAAAAATCTGTATTTTCCACGGCACAAGCTGTTCTAAATGTAATCATTGTGTAGTAAGCAGAGATCTACTCTACGAGTACTCCTATGAGTAGCTGGGAACTTTGTGAGGAAGAAAAAAAAAACATTTCTATACTGCAGCGCAGAATCTTACCACCATATGGACAAATAAAACATGCCTCAATTATCTACATCCATTAAAAATACTATTAGGATCACAATTCATCTGTATCAAAGTTTAAGTTTTATACTATCTCAGAAATCTGCACATAAAGAAACCAGGAATTAATAGAACAAAGGAAAAAGGTACATGCTGATAGCTGTACATCCATTAATTTGTTTGATTTCACTGAAACCAACAACAATCTTGGGAAACCTGAGACAAAAACACACTCATGGCCCTTGTGCCACTTTTCGCCTAAGTCCTCCCATTTGCAATACTGTTCAGCAAAGCAACAGAGGGTGCACAGAGAACTAAAAGCTCTTTACATGAGGGCCAGTAGCACACAAGTTGATTTCCACACTGAAGCCGTTCATATCCTTAGATTCCCTTACACTCTGATGTTAATTTAGCCCATTTTCTGCAGCCAAGCTCTTTTCTCCTTGCGCTTGATTTACACTGATTTGTATTTTTGGTCTCACTTCCACCTCTAACAACAAATGAAAATAGAGTATTCCCACAGAAATGTGATTGTAAAACAATGCAAGAAAACAGAATCCAGTGGGAATTGATTGAACTATATCATTTCCAATCAATTCTGTTGATATATTTGTCGCATAAAAGACAGAAGGAGCAAATTGTCAGATGACATATCATACCAGAAGGTACAAAAGGACTGTGCTTATGAAAGAAGAACAAGATAAATGGCAGCTGGAAAATCAGCTAATGCCAATATAGCATTAACATAATGGTAAACATAGAAACATTAGAACTTCTCAGCACAATAGTAAAGATCACTTTAACGGCCACAGCCTGGATGTAGAAAAGTAATGGGGATGGAGATCCAAGAACGTGAACGCTTGTGAATCACTACAATATTACAGAAAGTTTATTAGAACAACAGCAAGTCCAAAGATCTTGAAATTTGAGATATAGCTTTCTTTCCCACAGTTTAACCTCAGTACAGCTCAAGTGCAAAGGAAAAAGTTGAGGGAGATAAAGATGCTCCGCTCTACCTCATTACTTTTAAAAATTCCTAACTCCAAGTTGGTAAGACGCAGGTGATCAGTCCTTTAAGAACAGAATTGGGGAGCTCAGGTCATTTAATTCTAGAGCACACTATCTATAAGAATGTTTATGTCTGATGAAAGGCCTAACAAGTAGTCACAAACTTGAATGATATCATGTTGAAATGAGGAGTATTTTTTAAAGTACATCCATTCTTAAATGTGACTACAGATAGCAATGTTCTTGGCACCACTGAAAGCCCTCAATTGAAGACTGAAACCTCATGTCCTCTAGAGATGTTCTTTAGTTTTATTATGAGTTATTGAGTCCACCTGTAAGACTCAAACGCACATGGCCCAGCTTATGTAAGAGGTCAGATCAGATGACTGTAATGTTTCCTCTGGCTGAAAGCCTACAGATGTGCTCAAAATGCACAACTCCAAAGAAGATCAGGCCAGGGTTTGACCTTAAGTTCTTGTTTAAATGAGTTTAAATGATGTTGGAAACCAGGTAAGATGCAGCGACTGGCCAAGTCTGAATAGACATCAGAACTCCATGAATAATGTGCACTGCAGTACTACACCACTTTTGATACAACGAACGTGCTTATGTAGACAGGAATAACACTTTTTTCCCTATTTACACTAACATTAACACAAATACAAAACTTTTTCTATCCTCCTTGGTCACTCGCCCTCACCACACAGCATCACAAGCTGCAGCAGCTTCTGCACCTTCTGTTAGGGCACCGTTCTCTATTTCAGCTGCCTCAGTCATCATTTCCCATTAGCCCATCATGTTTCTGCATATTCTCACCTCAATAAAAGCACTGTCGTTCCTTCTGCACAGAATGCAAGCAAAAGGTCTTGACTGTGAAAATACAACTAGACGGCATTTGGAATATCTACCCAAAAGCAGCTGATAACTACTAAGCAGGTACTTCTATTACATTCGATCCAATGAGTCAAAGCATGGTCAGCCTTGAGAATTACAATTCAATGCAAAGCACTGCAACTACAGTGAAAAACTGAACCTGAAAATCAACTCTTTGTGAGAAAATAAATCTGTTTTCCATGTCCAGGTTACTAAAAACATCTTTCATCCTCAAATTCCATAAACTGGGCTTACAATCACATTTTGCAGAAGTGTAAGCCTATCAATCCATGCATCAGTTACCATATTCCTTTGTCTAGTAACACCTAAGAGCTCGAGCATCGAGCTAAGGAAAAGAAATGCTATTAATGCTAATCAACAAAATCTTCATGGATTCTACAGGCTGATTTAGTATGCAGAGCTACGGAATAAACACTGCTGAAACTAGAATTGTGCTGAGCCTACCTCCCATCACAGACAAGCAGAGAAAAAAAATGCTAACTGATGGAGACGGCAAACCTCAAGAAAAACTATTGTCATTTATCTTCAGTCTGTCACAATTACAAATCTCCGGACAATTCCCAGTCCAGTTTCTGCACCACGGTAAGTGGAAGCCTTACTTCCCCCAAGCGCATCAAAGCTAAGAGATCTACTTTATTGGGCAATTACCTGATATCTTTGATCCTACTTTGAAAGCCCCAAGGCAAATGCAGATGGCTTGTTCATAAGCTGATTCCCACACAAGGACATTCCCAATAAACTGTGGTATTCTTGCATACAGACTGATCAGGGGACCAACGCAGTTATGAATTACATATGCACCAGAAAATTCCTGTCATCCTAAAGATAGATGATTTATCAGTTTGTCAAATGCTTCTAAATAAGTACAGCAAAGAGGTGGAAGTAGTATCTACGTTAAAGAAAACTGGTGTATTTCTAAAAATAGGAAATTCTTTCTACGTAAAAAGACATTTAGACAGTATAGTCCTATAGCTCTCCTACTTAAAGGCTTGAAAAGCAGAAGGACCACTGCTAGCCCAATACTGACGTAAAAATAGCTAGGCACTATCATTGTTCAGCAAAACTGTTTAGAAAGGGGAAAAGGCACCACACTGCAAACAGTGTTACCCACTACAAACTTTATGAACATACCAGAAGACAATATCGGAGTTAGGAACAAACTCATCTGTTGGTTGGCAGTCAGTCTCTGGACTAGGACTGAGATGCAATTGTGGTAATCCTTACAATTCAATGCAAAACCCTGCAAGTGAAAAACTGAACCTGAAAATCAACTCTTTGTGAGAAAATAAATCTGTTTTCCATGTCCAGGTTACTAAAAGAAGGAGCTCAGCCCTTCCATCACTTCTGCCACCTATCACAAAATACTATGCTCCTCTAACTACATCAGTTCATCTTATTTCTCAAAGCACTATTTCCAATGGTCTCAT